GTATAGTTATTAGTTATATATAGAAATTTCTTGAAGTATATATTACTTTGTATATGTTCGGAAAAATCCGTTTAGCCTTACCACCTCTGTTTAGTTAAAGATCTAAATGTTTATGATACGTGACAAAAGGCCCTTCGGTCCCAAGCGGGGTTGTGGACAATAATTAGGGCGTAGACAGTGCTCTTACCATCAAGTAGAAAAGCGAACCTTCCTTGTGTCCAATAAAAAGTTTATAGTTTAAAATAAGGATTATTAATTATTTAACAACCAATAACTCCCATAATCCAATATCTGTCTCTACGGACTCGCGTCGAATTGACGAGTGAGAAACCGCAGATTTTCTTTAAGAAACTTATTTTATTTAACACTAGGTTTATATACCTACCTCTACGGACCTAACGAAACCGCAGATTTTCTTTAAAAAACGACATATTATTGATGGTCTCAATATGTCCACTTTGGAAGACGGAAGAATTGTAGCTGACGTACTGTTTCTCTTGAAAATTATTAGCAACGTTATCGAATGTCCACCCCTACTCGCTTTAATCAACTTCGATACCTGCCCTCGTCCTTTGCGCAAGAGTCCTGTATTTAAACTGGATTCCTTCACAACGGTTGCAAGATTCAGGGATCTGTACGTACGCAAACAAGCTCACCGACAGGCTCGATTTGTTCTTTGGCACTGCGGACAATTGTAGGCAAACTTTAAAGAAACTTTAGCAATTATCTGCGTTATGCATTGTCACTATTCGACTTTGTCATTTCATTGTACCATTGGGCTCATTTTGGGGTCTTTTTCTTTTAACGAGTGCTATGTAATTCGAAAGTATTTAATTCGATATAAGCATCGTTATTCTCATTTCCATGGATTTTTACTATAATCTATACTGTGACATAATCGCATAAAATTTTTAAAGAATTTTATAATAAAAATAAACAAGTATCGAGCAGTAAATTCTTAGGTTATCAAATGTGAAGGAAAAAATTGTTACCATAAGTTTTGCCTTTGCCGGTGAAAATATGATAGTCCTGCAATAGTCCCAACACTGTTTACTGCTCGCACTACTATCTTCAACACTAGATTTACGGACATTTCTTATATACCTATCTCCACGGACACGCGTCAAATTGACGCCTGAATGAAACCGCACATTTTCCTTAAAAAGCAACTTATTTTTACTTAAAACACCATGTTACACACTATTAACTTATAAATGACACTATGTGACATTGTATATTTGTGTAAAATTTATAATAAGCATGAATGGTAGGAGAGAAATGGGAAACGGTTTCTGTAGTTGTCCTTGTGAAATTCGAAATGCGTCAAAATGTCGCGTCCCGTAAACCTAGTGTTAAGAAAAGGTGTGCAATAATAATTACTTTGCGATTAGAGCTACCCAATTCTTTCGAGCCACTCGATTTTTCCGACTTGTCGGATCGGTTCGAATTTCGAGCCATTTTTTGTGGATGATGAAGGAGGGAAGATGCGAAGGGAACGTGGAAAAATGGTGATGCAGGAGGAAATGGCGTATGCACGCGGCTGCAGATGACTTTTTTTAGGCTCAGCTGACGTTGCGAGGGATCTGGGACTTCTTCTTGGAGTTTAGGTTCGAGTTTGAAGGACTTGAGAAGTTTTAGAAAGATTGAAAGTTTTCGTTAGTTGTGATATATTTAATTCGTTGTTGTTACTTTTTTTAGAGTGATAATTTAGAGTAATATTTTTCGGCGAGTGCAAAAGTTTAAACAGGTTGTGCTGGATCATGGAGAAAATGAGAAATTTTAATAAAATTTAAATTGTTTACATAAAATGTGTCAGTGATGTTGCTTCGTTTTGAGAAAAATTTGTGTTTGAGTCCGAAGGACAGAGTTGCTTCCAGAAGTTTCAGGAAGATTGGAAGGTTTTTTGTAATATTTCTTCGTTAATTGAGGTATCTTCTACTCGTTCTGTATTTTCTTTTTTAGAGTGTTAATTTAGTGCAAAAGTTCCAACCGATTGTGCTGTATTAACGAGAGAATAAGAAATTTGAATTTTTCTTCGTTTTGAAAAGAATGTGAAAAATGGATCGATTACAGTGGTATTATCAAAGTAGGATATCTGAAGTTACCGTGCAGAACCTGAAAAGCAGTAATTCATTTACGAAAAGGAAGCAATTAGTAGGAAATACGAAAAACGACAGAACTGTTGCACTCGGGATATTTTTTCGTTGGTTAAGGCACATTTTGTCTGTTCTATTCTTAGCGGGAAATTATTGGTTGACTATTGGAAAAGCTTTCATTGAGACGTTAGGAAAATAAAAGCTCGATTTCACGGATTACTTAGATAAAATGCCTCGTAAGAGGAGAACGAAAAAAGAGGAGCGAACGGATGAAGATTAAGTGGAAAAGGGTTGGCTGAGAATTCCCATTGAGGAAAAAGAAGAAGAAGGAAGAAAGAATGGAGAGAGGGGAGAGGTCCTGAATGATGGGATTAAAATCTTCGTAAGAGAGAAAGAGGAGCTACGAAAATGAAGGAAAAGATCGAAACTGACCAAAAATTTTCATCCAAGAAAACAGGACAAACCGACAACAAAATCGTCGACAAAATTATATCACCTCGTGTAACGTAAAATGCAGGATTTCTAATCATTCGCAAATTGACGGCTCTAGTGCTTATTTGAGTGCTGTAAAATTCTGTTTTCTTTTCTTTAAGTTAATGCAGTTCTTGGAAAGTTATAAGTTAGTCTAAATTTAAAAAAGGATTTTCTTTCCTCCGTGAAAAATTCGACTTTTCGAATTACTAAATCTAGTAGAATATATTACTTGATTTGATTGGTTAAAGATTTCGAATGCTAAAGATCGCGATATAAATCGCTGTCTGACTGATAAAAATCACGATCAGTAAAGATTAGCGTTCGTTTTTGAATTAAAAGAAAATAATACATGTAATATAATTTCCATCGTTACTAATGACCACTTCCCAGCGTGATGATAATTTGTGGATTCCGTTTCTGTAGAACGACTCATCTTTGGATCTTGAGATGACACTTTCCGGTAGACCTAATATTTTGAACCACGCTACACACACTACCGGCCAAAAGTTTCGAATCACCTGCCAATTTACATTAACATCGGATCTGCTGCTAATTCTTTATTGATTTGAAATTGATGTTGTGGAGATCAATAACACTTTACCTCGTTTCAATTGATGGAATGGTGAAAAATTCGTTAAAAAATGATTATAAATGCTACCATTTTTGGGGGGAATTTTTGTGCAACTTTGCAATGCACAGTGGTTCCAGACATTTGGCCGGTAGTGTATGTATTTCTGCCTTGTATTCTCTTCTTTCGTAGAAGGAAAATTGTCACTCTCAAACTTAATCGGTCAAACTTACCCAATTCGAACAGATACAGAACAAAAACTCAAGGCACAGGTATGTCATTAGATACTTCATTCTGCCTAACTCAGAATCTTCGTCAATTTCAATGCACAAGAAGAACATCAACACTCGAAAGTTTCATTACTCGTCAGAATAATGGAGACGAAAATAGCAAGATTTCCGAGTCTCCCGCGAAGAAAACCAAAGAGCCGAAGAAAGCAGCAACTGCAACAACCTAACCAAAAACGAGGGAAAAAACGAGCACGAAGTTAACAAAAACGTGAAAGAAACAGGCGAGCGTAAAAACGAAGGATGCAACGAGGCTCGCGAGGAAGAAGAGGAAGAAGACGGAAGATCGTTAAGGTGTACACGAGAGAAGAGGAAGCGACGAGCGGCGATGAAGGAGACGGAGATGGAAGAGGGAGAGGCTGAGCTCCGGCGAGAGGGCCAAGAGAAGAAAAGGAAGAAGCCGAAGGAAGGACGTAGGATCGTGTTGGGGGCCGTACCGCGGTCCTCGGGCATTCCCGATCATTATTCCACCGGCTTGCCACGGGGAGGAGGCCAGGCTGACCTTGGTACGAAGGCATGACTGACCTTGTTGCTGCTACATCCGAGAAACACTGTGTCCCATCCATCATGCAAATGAGCCGGTAATGAATATCAAACGACGTTCTTGCGGTGAATATTTTTCCCTGGCCGGATACATGCCGGGAATACTCGGAATATCCCACGAGAGGAGGACTCCTCGTGGACGTTGCATCGAGGAGAAGGTGAAAACGTTGAGAAAATAGACTGGAGAATAAACGGAGTGTCGGATGTGAGCTGTGTACAGAGACCTTTTACGGAATGCGCCGAGTCTACGCTGTAAAGTAATGTTTGGAACAATGGTTCGGTGAAGTGAATCCTGCAGGTGAGGGATTAGCCGCGTTCTAATGTAGTGGGTGATCAAATTATTAGGATCGCAAGAGTGGAATTGATGGTGCGCTTTTATCTGAGCAATTTTTGCTTCTAACGTGTCCTTTCGGTTCACGGGTAACCAGGAAAATATGTCACCCGTTAAGTGGAATTCAAAGCTAATCGAAAATTTCCTAATATTTGACAATGTTAAAATAAGTGAGCGAAAGTAAGTTGAAAAATTACAAATCGCACTGTCGCGAACGAAGATCGGCAGCACAGAATGGCAACCGTTCGATCTCTCAACGGTAATTGAACAGAGGCAGAATTGTACAGAGTGTCACTTCTGTATAAATGAACATTTCGATTCGAAGAACCTGAGAATCCTCTTCCAAAAGAAGATTACACACTTGAAATTCCTCACCAGTTCCGGCAAACAGCTTCACAAAAATCCGCATTATAGAAACCTCACGAATCTCATCATTCCATCCACCCATTCCGTGTACCATTTCCAACCATAATGATACAAGCCCAACCAAACATGAAATCTCCACGTTTCCAAGAGCTCGAATCACGATCTATAAATCCACTTCCCTCGAACCTATTTTCCCCACGTATCGAAGAAGAATCACGTTTCGACGTAGCGGAAACTAGGTTGGACTCCATTCTCCACCCTACAATTTTCCCGCAGCGTAAAAATGAAACTAACAGTCTACAATAAAACAAGAAAAAATAGAAACAAGAACTCACCTTGTGTGCAAAGGCAGAGTCGTCTTCTTTCGTCCTCTTCAAACTGCTCATATTGTCGTAGTCCCTGGACGTGTAACCGTAGTTTTCAGTAAACACTTCCGCCGGCGGTTTGTAATCCCGATATCCGGTCGGCGAGGGTGTCGTGGTCACGGGTTGACCCGTGGTACCCGGTGTTAAACTGCTGGAAACAGCCTCCACTTCGAACACGTCGTCGCTCATACTGTCGTCGCCCGTCATGACCTGCGGATGAAAAATCGAGCGGAAATGTGAGCCAGCAGTGAATTATGGAGCCATTGATACGCTTCTGCTGCGGTGATTTGTTAACCTCGTCGAAATTGAAGATCTTACGGCGATTCTTAGACGTTGAGGGAATGATAAGAACAGCTGGTTTGTGGTTTTTCGTTCTTTTGTGCTTGCATTGTTTAAGTTGACGTTAGTTTAGCTCGGTTTAGGATGGTGCATCGTTGTTTTAAGGGTAAACGTGGGAAACTGCAAAAATGTAATTTTTTAAGAGAGAAGAAGACCAGTTTAAAATCACCTTTGTGGGTGCTGATTTTATGCAAACATAACTATGCAACTTTCCTATATTGTATGATGATGGCGAACAAATTACCTGAAATTCGAGAAAATTGCGGTTTGGTAACTTTATCATTGGACTGACGATGTGAATGTGAATGCAATTGTTTCAGTTGTAGATTTTACGTAATATACCTATATTGAAGTTACTTAACACTGTTTTGTAATTATATGTAAATATTGAGGTAATTTTGTGTAATAAAATTGTCGTGAAATGTTGGCAAGACATATCGAGGGTACAGAATAATAGAAACATAATGGATATTCGTGTCCATTTTCTTTGTTGAACAAACATCGCGAATACAATAAAACAATGTATTAAAATCCAGTAATCAAAAATCCCAATAGAACCTCTGAAAATCTACCAACACCACATCATCCAAACGTATTATTTCTCCAGTCAGAAAAAAGAAGAGGAATAATACCAACTTTTATTTCCTTTCATGCCTCTCGTACAGGGTACACGAAAAAGTTTACACATTTACAGCTTCCATCCTTTAATTTACCAATGTCTTCTGTAATCACATTGAGAACAATTCTACAAATAGAACATTTCAAGACAAAAATTACAATTAACACCAGTTCCTCCAACAAACCAATACCAATTCTCACTCAGCATCAGTCCCTCCAGCAAATCAATGTCAACTCTCAATCAACGCCAATTCTCCCAACAAACCAATACCATTCTCAATCAACGCGAATTCCCGCGACAAACCCAAATCTCGACATAAAATCTACATCTGCAATACAAACTCTTCCCAGAGAAACATAAAGACACGTTCGGCTACTTTATTATCCCTCGAGAAAATTTCGAAGAAAAAAGGACTGTCCCATAGTGGAAACGTGTTAACTCAAACCAGCCATCCAACCAATCACCCGACACAATGGAACGTCGACCACCTACATGGTGGTGGGCCCAGTTCGAGTCGTAGTTACGCGAAATTCACGAGACGTTCGAT